TGTGTATGTATGTATATGTGTATGTGTGCGTGCGTGCGTGTATAGGGGGTGTTCATTGTGCAATCATCTCCCCAGTGATTTGATTATCTCCACCTTCTGGATTTTGGGACTTCTTCATCTTAATTGATTAATAGTGAATTTTAACTATATTTATCAAGTTCAATTAGTTTTATTGTTAGCTGCTTTGGATGTCCCTCTGAATAGAAATATCCAGAGTAAAATATGAATCAAATAAATATTTATTAAAACAATGAACAATAAATACATACATATTTTTTTCTACATGGCTGCCTTGAAGCCCTTCTAAGATTTTCTGGGTACTTGTGCCAAGTATCCTGGTAGCATTTTCTTCCATATATGTGTGCTCATAAGATTGCAAGAAGGTCTTTGAGCAGCTATGGTTGCTTTATGGCTTAGAGAAGGTGTTTGCAAAACCATTCATGGAATTACTTGCATAAGTGTAGTCCAAGCTCTGAGAAATAAAATGCTCTATCAGGGGAGCCAAATTTCAAGAAAATACTTACCTGAGAAGCAGCAACATACTTATAAATATATTAGCAAAAGCTATTCATGATGCAACAATCGTTTATATTGCAAGCAGATAAAGAGCATTCCAAAAATTATCTTATAGGAGCTATTGCATACTGGAAACAGGGAACATATGAACTAACTGAAAAGGAGTTATATATTTTTAATAATCTGACCTTTGAAAGATCTTCAAACAGGAAAGGCATAATGCTAATGAAAGTATCAAGTGTCTTAGCTGGGTCTACTCACACCTCAAGCCTGAAATAACAATTTCCTGTTTTGCTATATTTCCAGTCAGTTTTCTCCCTTTCAGTTATACAACATTAAAACTTAAAAGAGAGAAAATGAGAGTTAATTTAATTTTGGAATGGTTCATGGACCATAGCATGTTCTATCTCTTATCTGTTATCTATAGATCCTTCCAGTTCCATAGTATTGTTCTGGAATAGCTAAGCATTTTCAAAATAAAACTTCCTTATGTTGAGTTCTAGACAAATTTATCTACAGATTGCTGCATTTTTTAAGAATTACACTTGCAGAAAACGTCTCAAGAATAATCCTGTATAGTGTGCATTCTAGAAGTTATCCCAGTGCTTTCACATCAGATAAGCTGTGTTATTTTTGTTAACAAAAATTCATTTGTTTATAGCTCTTAAATAATTTGTAATCCACCCAGTGAATGTTGATTATTAAGTCATGATGGGAGCTATATGGAATAGGAAGACTACTAACAAAACATTTCTGTAATATCAAATAAAAATAAAGGTGAGCATTGAAAAAAAAATGGCTAAAATATTCTGGAGTGGACTTTGCTCATTGTTCTTCTCATATTTGCAGCTTTTCTACATAAGCTTCCATTGTATATTTTAAAAAACTAACTAAAAATTCATTTTGCTTTTTTGCTTTTTTTAAAAAGGGGGGGCAATGGAGCAAATCACTAAGGAGTGCAGGTCAGCATTTGTAATCATCAAATCAATCAATATTTCTCATTCAAGGAAACAAAACAGGCAAGTTAAACCATCATGACAAGAGTTATTTCAGGATTTCAGATTTTCCCACACACTCCCAATGACTGGGCTAATGACTTCAAAGCACACAAAACAATAGAGAAAAGAATTATACCGATGTAGGATAAAACAAGAAGAAAATAGGTGGTAGTGTGTGCTCCTATGATCATTCCGCCAGTGGGCCTCTCAAAGGCTTTAAAAAGCCCTCCATTAAGTACAACAGAACAGGAAAAGGTCTGGCTGATTCATTTCACAGCTGCCACTACATCCTGGGGTCCATTTAAATACTGGGAAAATAAATCACTTTTTATTTTTCATAGCAGAGAGAAAACTGGAAGCTCTCAGTGACTCTCTGCATAGACTAATCCCCTAGAACTTGACTTTAAAGTCTATTCTGGATTCCTTCCATCAGCTGCAAATTTTTATACATAAATAACTGGTAGCCTCATCACTAAAACTAGATTCTCACATTTTGATCATTTGCTTTTAGTCACATTAGTGCCACTCTTTCAATTGCCTGAAGAGTTCTTGAGAAATTTTGGTGAGTAAAAATAACTCATTATTTCACAGTATTACAGGTAAAAAAAACACAGTATCATCCTTCTAGGAAACAATATTCATTTGTTTTATTTCAAAGATGTCTACTCTTCCAGAAATAGATCTCAATTATCTACCAATCCTTGTTTTTAATGATTGCGCTAAATTGAAATATTTCATTTCAAGTGAAGTCCAGGGCTGCCTGCCTAACGGCATGTAAAAAAGAAGGGGAAAAAAAACAGCAGCTGCAATTGCGCAATCAAAGCTCCAGTGCCAATGATGCACCACACATAAAAGTGGGCCAGGCTTTGATCCCATGGCTGTGGCTGCTATCTCAAATTTTTTGACACCTTCCTGTGAACACGCCTACCCCAGTCTCAAAAAAAAGCAAATAAAATTGATTTTTTTTGGAATTTGAATTCAAGAGGAATTCAAGGAAAAATTTCTACTGAATTTTTTGAAGTGCAGGACTCTTCTAAGGTTGGATAGGGAGGACTCCTTATAAATAAAGTTACTGGCACAATTATACGTGACACTGTTATCATCTGGTCTGTGTTTAAGCAATTTACTAACTAAAAATATCACAGGAGATGTTGTCAAATGCTTTGTTGAAATCAAGATTTGAACAGAACGTATATGCTCAGCCTCATGATTTAACCACAGTAGAAAGCAGCAGAATCTTATACTGACTGGTTTCATGTGTCAGTGATATGGATGAATACAGGAAACAGCCACAACTCAGCCTTCCTGTGTTTGTGCTGCAATTAGAAATCTTCAAAAATGTAAGATACATTATTTATTGACATCCACAACTCTTCAACAGGATTCAAGTTGAAGAATAAGGGCAAGAATTCTTCTCTTTTTAGTAGCACAACAAAGATTATTTTGGGGGAAAAAAGTAAATCAAAATGTCATTTCTGTAAAGTACTAAAAAAATAACCACAGTTGTCAGCATTGTGCATATACTACAGTTGTAATTTACAAATGTTTGTGGCTCTCTACATACCAGGAGATGGCGCTCCTAGCATAAAAAATAAACGGTAAATTTCATTTCTTTTCTCCACTTTGCTTAAGGCAAAGTTATAAAAGGATGTTAAAAGTGGTATTCTTGTATTGGCCTGGAAAGTCTGCAGGCTCAATATAAGGCAAGAAACCTTTCTCTAAATATTCCACAGCAATTGCAGGCAAAAACAGCTTGCCGACAGAAAAAAATCAAAACTATTGAGCAGTGGAATCCCTACAGCTATTACTGCATAAACTGTTCACTTCATGCTGATACTTTAGAATCAAAATAAATAAATTAGTATGCTAAAAAACAATTATCAAGATTTTTTAAACTGTTCTAAGCCCTTCGGGGAGTTTGAGATTTTCCTTAAAACTTTAAAATGAGATTGAATGAATTATTTAAAATTCAGTCATCTTCTGTTCTATAAATCACTCTTCACATAAAAATTCAAGCCCAATCTGCAATAAACGATCTATGATAAATTATTTTAAACTATAATATTCATTAAAGAAGATGGGAAAGAAGAAGAGGATATAAATATGATGTGATAGACACAAATGATACAATCATAATTAATTACAGTAAAGCATGCTTTACCTGTTGATTCCAATTTTCTAAGTACATATCACATAGCAGCTAAAATGTAGTTGCCTAATTTGTGGCGCAGTGGGTCATGTGACCCCAACCTCTTTGTATCTGAATTCTTCCAAAACTTTGTTAGTGATTTGGTAGAAAACAGAAATCCTGCCAACTTTGATACATTTCTTCCCACGTTATTCCTATTTGGGAAGAAAGAAAGCAAGCAAGGAAGACAGCAGAAGTCCTGTGGTTTTAATTTTAATTTGCCAGCATTGTGAATGGTTTATCAGGGCTCTCTAGTCACAGTGTTTTGTGAGCTGAGGTAGTGTATTACTACGGCAGACTGTTCTTTACAATTTTTCTCTCCTGGGGAGAAAAACATTGAAAATAGTTTAGATAGAAACTTAAATGATACATCAGTTGTCAAAACAGGTATTGTCTGAAACAAAAGCATCATTCTAGGCAAAACATTCATTTTTATCACAGAAATTCTTCCCAATTTTAATTTCTCCCATCTTAACATGTCCTTAATTTTGTTCCATGTCTTAACATAATTATTTTGAAATAATATGATAAATAATCATATTTATCATAATAATACTCAAGTGTTTTGCTTTTTTCTCGATCTTAAAACCAGTTTTCTCCATCAGTTTTATTTGACCTTCTATTTTCATATTTTTTGTTAACATTTCCATATTCTGATTATTAATCTTAAAACCTGCTAGCATACCAAAGCCCTTTAATTTTCCCATTAATGTTTTTATACTCCCTCTAATGGATCCTCCAAAACTACCACCAGGTCATCAGCAAATGCCCTTAACTTATAAGTTTCTTTTTAAATCTTTACTTCCATTATTCTCTCATCTTATCTTATATCTCTATTCAGTACCTCAAGAACTAAAATGAACAAGAGTGGAAACAGCAGGTATCCTTGTCTTGTCCCTTTTTGAATCTCACAAGGCTTCGTTAATTCTCCATTAATGATTATTTGTATTTTCTGTAAGGTATAAATTGATCTTACCCATTTAATAAAATGATCTCCAAAGCTCATATCTTCCAGAACTCTAAACAAGAAAGTCCAGTTCAAATTATCAAAGGCCTTCTCTGCATCTAAGAAGATCAGTGCAGCTGGTTTTTCATTGTGCTGCTCCAAATACTCCAGAATATTCAACACATTTTTAATGTTATCTCATAATTGTCTTTTAGGTAAAAACCCACATCGATCTTCATGAATAAAGTCCTGTAAAATTATTTTCAACCTTTCAGCCAAAATCATTGTAAGCATGATCATTATTCAATGTTGGTCAATAATTTCTTGTCAGGTCCTGGGCCTATTTAGGAATTAATGCTATATTGGCTTGTTTCTAGCTGTCAGGAATCTTTTCATTCTGTAAAATAATATTCCTTGTTTGTTGTAAAGATTGTAAAAGTTCATCCTCAAAACATTTCTAGTAAGAGGCTGGCAGATCATCTTTTTAATAGCTTCGCAAACTTCCCTTATTGTTATAGGTTCATTCATAGTTTGTCTCTGATTCTCAGTAACCTTCGGTAAATTCTGTTTATATAAATATTTATCCACTTCTTCCAAGGAAATTTCTTGACCTTTATATAAAGTAGAATAATACTGGTGAAACACTTTTCATATATTTGCATTATCTGCTATTACAGTTTTTATTTCTTGTAATTTTAGTATCACTTTCTTTTCTTTTTCTTTTTCAACTTATATGCCAGCTATTTCCCTGGTTTATCTGCAAATTAAATATATGCAAAAAAAAATTCTTTGTTTTGCATAATTCATCTTTATTTCCATCTCTCTCACTGTTAACATAGAGAATTGCCTCTGTAGAAGCTTCATTTGGTGGGTAATAGTTGTCTTCTCTGGAGACTTCTGTTAACTCTTCTTCCTTTTTTTTTTAATTTAACCCAAAATCACTTGAATTTTCTGTTGCCTTTTATTTTTAAATCCACAGTTATGTTGTATGAAATTTCCTCTTATAAAAAATTTGTGTGCATCCAAAACCATTCTTACTTCTGTACCCCTATTAAGATTATTCTCAAAAAATTCTTTTAACTTCTTTTTACAATTCTCCTCTACCATTTCATTTTGCAATAACATCGCATTCAATCTCCATCTGAAAGTTCCATTTTTCCTTTTAAAAGTTAAAGTCACTGGGTTGTGGTCTGAGAAAGTCTTTGGTAATATCTCCACTTTACGAACATTAATAGCTGAAGTCTTAGAGATCCAAATCATATCTGCTCTTGAAAAAGATCTATGTCTTTCAGAAAAATAAGTATATTCTATGAGTCACCATTTTTATATCTCCATACATCAAGAAGCTCCAAATTGTCCATTAAGTTGAAGAAACCTTGATACTTTGCCTTGTGTATTGTTATTGTTATCATTTTTCTCAGAGGTTCTATCTTTTTGTGGGGAAGCCATCTCATTCCAATCTCCCAGGAGACACCATTTTTCATATGTCCCTAAGTCCAATAGTTTATCCATAAGTCCTTTATAAAATGCTATTTTATCTTCATTTGCGGCATAAAGGCCCGAATTTGTTCCAGTGCCTAATAGGTTTCACTGAGTTTTTAAAATAATTCCATCTTGGGAACAGAACACAGTTGAAGCCTATAGACTCAGCATTTAACACTGAGAATGTATTCCAAGCATCAATTAAATTGACTGTATTACACTATATCCTGCTTTCCTTCCAAGAACCTAAGAATGGCATACTGTATATAGTTTTCTTTTGACATATCAATGGATGTTTACAAGAATCCTATGAGTTAGGTTCATCTGAGAAAATATAAGAGTCATTAGCTTAAATTATCCAATGGTAATGCTAATCTAAGACATTTTCCTTCCTGAGGACAAAATCAAAATGGTAACCCTTTCCCAGTTTATTTATGGAAGTTGATTAGACTGACAGCTAAATCTTCAAGAATGCTTGTGGAATAGTGTCCTCCATCAGACTTGAGGTATCAGGCTAATTTAGAAGTTTAAGAACAGGTAAGGTAGTATTCATAGCTTGACAAATAGCCATAACATTCATGAATCTACCTTTGCTGCCCTCCAATATCACCCAATAGTAGGGTTGGACCTTCCCAATGAACTTCACAGGCATGAGGTTCCTAACTCGAATTTTACATTTTTATAAAGCAACTAATAAATAATAGGGAGAGGTGTTTAAAATGTAGAGAGACTGTAGAGAGAAGCATTTCAAATCTATAGAGGCTGTAATCAAAAGAGCTTTATACATGAGCAGAACATGTATCTTGCTATCACGGAAAGAGATTGCCAGTTCTACCTTGGAACTGTATGATTTCAATGCTGCATTCATTCCTTAAAGTGTCCTTTAGCCTTCAGGGGCATATTTTGGAAACCACAAAAAATTGTGGAGGAAACAGGTCAGAAAATCCTATTGCAACAAAAGTCCACCAGATATTTTGGGACTACAATTCCAAGAATTCCCAACAAGCTATGAAGAAACAGGTTTACTTACAGTATTGAGTTCTCAATGCCCTTTGGATCCTGGCCAAGGATATAGTTTCCAGATCCTTCCCAAACAACAGAAATAATTTAATCAAAGTTAACTGTGCTGTGGAACCAAACAACAAAAATAGGGGAACTTTATTAAAAAATATGTTCAAGCCACTGATGTCTTCCTCACCCTTCTTTATTTTAATTATCTGGTTTTAAAAAGTGTATAACCTACACCTGCTGAGAACTACATTTTACAAATCCCCCACCCAATTTCTTAATTACATTCTTTCCCACAAAGTAACTCTTGTATCTTCCTATTAGTTTCATCCCTGATCTCGGAGTACCATTGAACTCAGTCATTCACTGGAAACAAAAGCACCTCAGTTCCAACTTTCATTGCTGGTTTCTTATTTCACTGAACTTGAGCCAGACCACAACCATTTGGGAGGAAAAGTCACAGACACACAAAGCACTACTTTTTTTTGGTTCCAATATAATGATACTCGATACAAGCAAATATGGGAGAAGAAATCCAACTCTTCAATATGCCAGAATGTGAACTTACAAGATTGAGATGCTCAGGGAGAGGAAGGAGGGGCAAGATTGGATACTATCTCATTTGCAAGTGAACACATTGTTGTAAATCCAGATGAAGAGGTTGGGCAGGTCAGCTGATCACAAGTCTATAAATCACCCTCTCTCTAAAACATCTGTTTCCTTGGAAAGAACTTTCACCAACACAACAGATCAACTCTGGTGAGCAAAATCCAAAGTCTTAATATTTTATTGCAAATTACCCAAACCATAATCAGCAAATGAACAGGCAAGAAGAAATTATGTGTAGCAGTTTTCTGTTAAGGATTTGTTAAGAGAGCCTATTTTATGTATGGACTATAATGGAAATAGATTTCAAAAGATTAAATTCATTGCAGCAATGGACTTGCATTTATCCAATATCAAAAAATTGTACACCCACACAGACAGGTAGGTTTTAAGGAACATGATATTATTATTATGGAGCATTAGGAAAAATATTAAACAGCTACTTTTTTAAAAGACTGTGCACTGATAATCTTGCCTACAATAATTGTGAAGCTGATCCTAGCAAATCAGCTATATTTCTTTACAAACAAATATGTTAAACATTTGTTAATGCTAATAAAAAAAAACATTTAGATTTCAATATCACATTTATTGTTTACAGTACGCTTTTATTTGTAGGTTTGGACCCAGATTTAGAGGAGATCTCCCAAAATCAGTCAGAGCTAGGTTTATGACGAATATGGATTTAACTCATAATCCACTTTACAAATAATATGGAATTATCCTCATTTTTTTCCCTAGGAAAGGATTATTCTTTCCTTTGTTAATTATAAATCACATCACTTTAATAACATTAGTGAGGTCAGTTACAGAACAAAAACAATTCAATAATAACATGAGCATGGTATAAAATTTCTAGTACTCAGTGAAATGAATGCTAAAAGAATCAGTGTCCTGGAATAGCCATAAAAACACATGCACCTTTACTAATAGACAGAACCCCTGAATTCTTCTCAGGGTTGCAAAGAAGATAAAAGAAAGAGGCAGCATATAAAACTAATATCAGTGCTGCAATCATATATCCATTTAACCTGAAAGAAAGCACCACTGAACTGCAAGTTTTATTTCTAAATAAACATAATGTACTATAATTCATCAATATGTTTAATTACTACTTTCTTTAATGTTCCAGAAGCAGCTGTTTCTTTCTTTAATGGGATGGTAAAGAATGTATAACATGTAGTCCTAATTCTTTTGCGGAAATGTAAGGACTCCTACAATGCCAGAATTTCCAGATAAAATGAGTAAGGCACAAACAGTGGAACAAAGAAATGTTGTTGAGCAAACTCACCGACTATAGCAGAACTAAGAACCCTGTTTGTAGATTTATTATGTAGATGTTGACCTAGGTTTACACTTGAATTTCTGACTGGATTTGGCATTACAGTACAAGTTCAAAAAAACAGAGGGCTTTTTGTTACATTGATATTTTTTTCTATTATAATTCAATTATCCCTTTAAAAATTCAAATACTTCCTCATAAATAAGATTTTAAACCATTAGACTGTTCTCTATTTCTGCTTTATCCAAAAAGGTCTCTACTTATAATTTTATTTATCTGAGCCATGATATCTTATCTTTTTAGATGTTATCAGTACAGAAAATAATTAACATCCTGGGAAAACATATATGGAAATCTATTACTGTAGTGTAATTTTAATTTCACATCAATCTCACAATGATTTCTGCTGCAAATTGCATCAGATTTCTAATAAGTGAATATTGAATTTAAATATCATGGAGCGAGAACATTCTCTCCCAGTTTCCTTCTGAAAATGTTTCCCTACCTAATTTTTAAAATTCCAACTTATTCAAAAGATTGAATGAGAATAATAAATACAATAAAGATACAACTGTACACATACAGACTCTGTCCAGTTCCTGATCTCTATCAGGTAAAGTACAGCGTTTAAAAGTTCAACTGAACTTATTAAATATCTGTGATTTAAATTTTACAAAATGTCAGATACTATCTTAAATTATCATTATTGTCTAAAATGAAACCACAATGCAACTAAAGGATTATGAATTTTTCAGTTTATTCTACTTGGTGGCCTTTCTTTTCTAGTCTTTTTAAAGTAGTGTCAACTTCAGCAGTTTGTTAAAAGGAATCTGATTTATCATTCTTAAATGCCATAATACACACACAGACTGTATTTGTATGTATGTATGTATGTATGTATGTATGTATGTATGTATGTGTGTATGTATGTGATAGCATGGACAAATATGCCTTCTTAAGATACCAGGACATAAAAAGTTGGCTTTATCTTCATTATCAGAGGTTGCCTTGAAGAAGGAAGGAAGGAAATATGCATTCAACAGTGAGCTTATCTTTCATGTTAATTGCTGTTTCATCCAATTTTGCAATGGCAATCAAAAAGGAAAAGAGAGCACCCCAGACTCTCTCGAGAGGTATGGTGATTTCATTCTGTCTCTACATTTGCAAACAATCTAATTATAAAATAATTTCAACTCACTCAAAACAAATAATTATAAAAAGGTAACGATGTCTTAAAATTCAATTCTCTGAAATTGTTTTGGAAATAAAACTGGACTCCTCCTGATCTAAAATAGACAGGGGTGATACTTCTGACAGTCCAACTCTACATTTTTTCAAAAACGAAAGTACTAATATAATCTTACCTCTTTGTGTGCATATGCTCTATTTTGGTGCACGTGTCCCTTAAAGCAGTGTTCCTCAACCTTGACCACTTGAAGATGTGTGGACTTCAACTCCCAGAATTCCGCAGCCAGCTGGCTG